CAAGATGTCACACCTAATTTTTTATCATATGATCTTCATAAATTACACAAATTAACGAAATCACGTTTTTAAAATTTTCACCCCAAGTCTTAGTCATAATACACAATGTTTCTTAATACGAAAAGTTGCCAAGATTTCAACGAATCAGATGTATAGAGATCGTAAAAAAATTAACCTCACTGCACAATAGAAAACCCCTTCAAAGGTAGGCAATGATTTTGTCTTCTTCCACATAACTCTTTTCCAGTTTGCAAGATCTTGATGTAAAAATTAGTTTATTAGATGCGCACAAGTAAGAACTTTCTGTGAAATGCTTCTTCAAAAAAAGGGTAGCTTATAAAAATGTAGAGAAAATTAAGAAAAACTATTTCACTATATATTGATTATGATTTTTGCTAAGTTTTTTTTTATTTTTTCTTTAAAAATAATATTGTAAGTTTATTAATATGTTCAAAGTAATTGTTATTAATTTTTTATTTTATTTAAAATTTATATAATTTATAATTCTTTGAGTTCTTCAGTACTAGCACTATTTTTTGATCTTTTATATTAGTTATACTATTGATCCTTAATTCAGTTTGTTGTCTAATAATTATATTGCAACAACTCTTCCACAAGCTTATCGAAAAAGGTCCAGACAACACAGTAGAGCCTTTATATTCCTCAAATTGGCTCAAGATGATTTCTTCTTCAGGTTTAGTTTTGTGTACTGTATACTTTCAAGACTTGGATCTTGAAGATGGATTAGTTTCAGAAGACAGATCAAGTTCAGATACTAGTGCTAATTGTAAGTCTTGATTTATTTTATTGACTTCCTTGTTATATAATTTTGGAGTACGCATGGAATTGCTGCTTATTGATTCTAGATTTATTGTTTTTGTTTAGTTAACATTTATTTCACCTTTATTTTTCTTTGCTATTTTCATTGGTATTAGGTCTAGTTCATCACGTTTCACTTTTACTTTGACTGCTACATTATTAATAATTTGTGTAGTGACTTTATTTATTTTATTTATTCTAATTAGTAACAGTGAAATATTTGGCAGTAGCTAGCAGTTGTTAATTGCATTTTTCTGCAAACAAAGTATGTGGGTTGTATATCAGAATCCTGACACACAAAATCCCAACACACAAAATTCCAGCAACAAAATCCTGATACACAAAATCCTGACAAATTAAAATTCTAAAAATATTAAAATTAGAAATTTAATTTGTCAGGATTTTGTATATTGGGATTTTGTTGCCAGGATTTTGTGTGTTGGAATTTTGTGTGTCGAGATTCTAATATACAACCAAGCATGTGATTTTGGCTGTGGATTGATTAATGCTATTTTAAGCTCATTAATCAATTTTCAAAGAGCTTCTTGATGATTTTTAATAGCCCGTGAATTTTTACTCAATAACTAATCTTTGGTGAACTCTGATATTAGAAAGTTAAGTTGTTCATTTTTTGTTTATGCCAATTTGATATTTCATTTTAAATTTTCTAAATTAGTTTTATGTCTGATCATATTTTTCTTTATAAATTTCATACTAAATATTTCTAAACCCTTATCATGGCCAAGATTATTCCCTTCCTGAGTTAGATTTATTGAAGGCACTGTCCAAAGGTCTTGAAAAAGTTGTGGGTTTTGTTGAAGCTCTACCAAAAATTGTGTCACAGACTCAGTATATCCTACTCTTTTTGTTATTGGGAATAAAGGAGCAAATGCCATCAAGCTGCATGTTTGCAAATCAAAATTTGCTATATGAATTCCAAGTTTGTGCAGTTTTAAATATCCAGCCTATTAGTAAAAATTATACCAAACTTTTAATAAATTATTGTCTTTTGTATGAATTTCTTCAATAGAAATATTATTTTCTTTTGTATAAATATGAATTACAACTCTAACGGCTATCCAAATAAGCTCCAATATCTAGAATATTGATCGATAATTAACATTTTGTTTAAGTTTATCAAGAAATTTGATGCCAAGTTGTGCAGCAAGCCTAAAAAGCCTATATCCTGAAAAGGCTACAATTAATGCACTGCATATTGTTTTATTTGTATTCCATTGTTCTAGAATACAATCTCTCATATGATAATATATTGCTTCATCACACACCAAATTTAATATTCCATTCTCTGTATAACCAAAATCTTTAATATATATGTCTACAGCTTGATGAACATTCTTGTTTTACTTGGAGCCTCTTTAGCCTCAAGAATTACAACGTTTAGGTGTGCCAAAAATGATACCGATTTAATATTTTCTTTAAGAGCTGCATTAACATTTTCAATATTAAATTGTTGTTTTTAATTAACTAGTTGACTAAATATCTCATCTATATTTATATTTTATACTTCTATAATAGTGCTTATACCAAAAAGATTCTGAACTTTAAATAGTTTTAAGTTGAGAAGCTGGTTGCCTAAATTGAAAAACTATCTATAGTGTTGCATATGCAGTATCACAAACTACTTCATAAATATTTCCATATTGAAAAGTCTTGTCTTTATATCGATATTATTGATAACTGCAAGATTTAAAATATTCAAATTTGTATCTATGTCAAGGAGTCTTGAACGAGAGTTTGTAGCTGACATCTATTTTTTTTGAATACTTGCTTTGTGGATTCTAATATATGCTACAACCTGAACAGCATGAAGAATTTTGTACAAAAATCCTATCATTCTTGGTTTTTGGCAAAGAGAAGAAAGTACATAAGTAAACCATATTTTCCGATTAGAGAAAGCAATAGTAAGTAGTACTGAAGAAAAGAAAAGAGAATACAATTTGATTTTATTTTTATCTAATTGCAGTGGTGGCAAGCCTCATTCTTTTTGTTTTCTAGACAGTACCTTATTTTTATTCTCTATTAGAGTTAAAATAAGGCCAAAAAAAAAGTTCAAAAAGATGATAGCATAGCATTGTGATATTTATCTAAAGATTCTGGCTCTTCAAGTAAAGGTAATCTCTGTTTGAGTTCAGATCATTTTTTGTAATACAGAATGAGCAAGTATTTTCCCAAAATCATTATATGCAGTAGGTTTTAATTGTGTTGCTTGCTTTTTTTCACTAATGTCAATTTTTTGACAGCAAATGCTGTTTTAATTAAAAAAAGACTAGGACTTATAGACTCTGAAAAAATGGTAGAAGGCATAACAATGGGATTCTCGAGAGTATTAGGATTAATACTGCCAAACAATTTGGAAAGCTCTTTTAGTAGTTTAATCTTCAAATAATCATTATTTGATTCAGCAATCTGCTCAATCTATTTGTTAAACAACTTCAAGGCAAGTATAATATCTTCATTATGTTCTTCTTGGTCTAGACATGTGACTATTTTTTTTAATTTCTGGTCGAACATGCAAATGGTCTCTGTGTACAATGAAACAGTTCATACAAATAAATTGAGGTCTATTATTAGCTAATAGCTTAGTTGATAGATCTTTATATGCAGTAATTGCCAGGCAGTTATGTAATCCACAGCATAGAACTTGGACAATGCATTCACAAATTATTCAGGTATGTAATTGACAGATTGTGTCTCTTGTAAAAAAATATTTTATTTTATTTCAGAAAAAACAGTGATGTGATGTAATCATACTCTCTTCTGTTGATAGGTCATTCCTTACACCCAGGTGCAAAGTTTTTAGATCATAGTTGTAATGCTGCATACAAATACCTAGTTTTGAGACCTTATTCTCAACTTCTTCTTCTATAGTTTAAGAGACGACTTCCTACATCCCTGACAGTTGATTTATATTTAAAACTTCTACATTATTGCATCTTTAATTATAGTTGATTTATTGCTAATTTCATTATCAATAACAACAAAATTTGTAAATCTTGTAGTGCACTCTACAAAAGAAAGAAGTGGCATATCAAGTTCCTCAAATATTTCTATCTTATTATTGTCACTCTCAAACAACTTGTCATTTTCAAGCAATTCATTATTCTAAATTAATTCATTATCCATTTCTTCAGCAGATTTAATTATTTCTCTTACTTTTTCATATAAATGCCAATCAAATGTAAAAACACCATCATCCACATCCACTTGTTCAATGCCAATGTTGGACTCTTTACTAAAATCAGATTGATTTTCTTTTTAAAGATTAAATGAAGCATTTTTTAAAGAAACCATTTTTTTTGTTGAGTATTTGAATTAATAATTGTGATTCGAGGCAATTCTGTAGTTTGAAAGTTTAAATGAACCACTTTTTATAATTTTTACACTTATTATAATAGATTGGCCGGTTGGAATAATTAGTCTATTATAGTGAATTTTTGACTCAAAAACTTTTTTAATTCTGTAGTTTTTGTGGCGAATCTTAACTTTTTCAATTCTGTAGTGAATTGTGATTTAAAGACCTTTTTAATTCTTAGTTCTCATTATATCAAATCTTAACTTTGAGTCTTTTTAATTTTGTAGTTCCTACTATAGCTAATCTTGAATGAAAACTTTTTAATTCTGTAGTTTTATTAGAAAATCTTGACTCAAAAACTTTTTTTAATTTTATAGTTCTTGTTATAATAAATCTTAACTCAAAGACTTTTTTATTCAGTAGTTCTTGAAACTTCTGAGATTCAAGATCTTCTGTAATTCAAGATCTTCTGAAATTCGAGATCTTCAAAATTCGAGATCTTCAAAATTCAATAATTTTCTCTGAAATTAAAAACACTTAAACAGTACCCACTAATTTTCATATTTAGATGTGTTTTTTGAGGCTTGAATTCAAAAAATATAGTAGTCTTAGATGATAATTCAAAAGTTAGACTATTACTTATACTTATAATTGATAATTTGTAAATTTTCAATAATTAATAAATAGACTTAATTAAGCATTGCTACTCTTGATGTGCTTATACATCGCATTTTAATGATTGACCAATCAAATTTTAAAATTAAGTATAACATAACACAAACAGAATAGATTGAAAACAACATTTATTATTTATAATTTAAAATTTTATATATAAAACTATCCTTTGTGCTCTAACAAAAAAGTTCTTCATGAAACTTTACTATAAAGCTTCTCTAACTCTAACCCTAGCCCATATACAACTTTTATCTCACCCTAGTTCTAACTTTAACTAAACAAAAACATGATTTATTTTAGACAAATTATAATCTATATATATATGCAATGTATAAACACATTACTAGTAGTGATGTATAGATTTATTCTTAATAAATTATAATTTTAATAATTTATTTAATAAACTTTATTAATTTAATTATATTCAATTACAATTTTTATTAATATAAAATCTAAACTAAATATATATTATTTAACTATAATTAAATCTATAAATCTATAAATTTGATTACTAAAATCATTCTTCTAATTTAAAGCAACCAATGTGATGTTCTTGCAAAGTACATTAGCTAATTCTTTTCATCTTTCTAATCCAAGTTTATTATTCCAACTAAGATCTGGAAAGTTACTGTGGTAGTGTTCTTGCAAGTATAATGGCTAATATTTTTTATCTTTCAGATTTAAGTTATTTTAACTAAGATCTAGAGAAGTCATCGCAGTATTCTTGCAAAGTGCATTGACTAATGTTTTTTGCTCTTCTGGTCCAAATTTATTATTATTTTAACCAAAATCTGAAGAAGTCAATGCAGTGTTCTTGCAAAATGTATTGGCTAGTACTATTCGTTCTTCTGCTCATATTTCAAGTTTATTATTCTAAATATGATTTAGATTTTTAGTTTCAGTGAAGATCTCTAAATTTTAAAGATTTTGAATTTTAAAAGTTTTGATTTTGAATTAAAAAAAAATATAACTACAAAATTGAAAAAGATTTTAAGTCAAGATTTACTATAATGAACTAATTATTCCAACTAGCCAATCTATATTATAAAGAGTATAAAAAATATAAATTGTGATCTATTTAATTTGTAAATTACAGAATTGTCTTGAACCATGATTACTATTCACATAGTTTTAAAAAAATATACTTATATTTTTATCATCAGACAGTGTTTTCAATAAATATGACTTGGGTTGGGCATTACTTCATTTATGATGAGACTTTAGAAATATTTGGTATGAAGTTTATAAAAGAAAGTATATAAAACCAATATAGAGAATCTAAAATGAAATATCAAAGCAGCACAAGCAGAGAATAAATGACTTAACCTCTTAATTTCTGAGTTCACTGAAGATTAGTTAGTACACAAGAATCCACGAGCTGACACCAATCTAGAATTCTAAATAGTTAAGGAAAATAATAAGTTAAATAAAAATAATATATAACAAAAAAATTTAAATAAATAATTTACTTTATCATAAACATATTTTTATCAGCTTGTATAATGTTTTTGTGAAAAAATAAAAACTTAATTAATAAAGTTGCAAACTACTTTTTGCCCTTCTAATCTAAGTTTATTATTCCAACTAAGTTCCAGGTAACATTCTTGTAAAGTGATCAGCTAATACTTTTTGTTCTTCTGGTCCAAGTTTATTATTTCTAAAATCTAGAGAAGCCAACATGGTGTTCTTGCAAAGTACAATAGCTAATTCTTTTTTGCCATTCTGATCCAAGTTTATTATTTCTATGTTCTTCTGGTTCAAGTTTATTATTCTAAAATCTAGAAAAGTCAACTTGGCATTCTGCAAAGTGAATTAGCTAATATTTTTTTCTCCTTCCCAATGTCCTAAAAAAAATATGCTGTTAATAGTTTTGAAAGTTTATATTGTTAAGTAGTTTTAAATCTAATA